TTATATTATATTGTAATCAAGTATACAAATATTTATATCATTAATGTTATTTTCTACCAGAACTATAAGACAATATTTTATATAATTAAATTGCTTACTATTTTATTATATTATAAGATTTCAATATTATCATGGGTATATAGTTTTAAAAGTGCTACGCACATTAAGTTTCAAACGACAATTTTTTTCTTATCTCAAACGACTTATGTCTACTATACGGATAATCTACCACCAAAAAGACGTATTGTATATATTTCTTGATGACATCGCCCTTAAGAAAATCCTAGATACGCCACTGATTGTATGTGGCCTTACAATCCGCCGTTTACCTATTATATCGTGGTATCTATATATAGGTATAATATATATGCAATTCTGTGTTCATATTTTTTTACTGTTATCCGAAATCCACAGATCGATATACACGTATGTTCTCCCAAAATAAAGTGTATTCCAAAATCACATCCGTCAGTCTGTTTTGTATGTATTATTATACAGTTGAAAAAACATCTGATCAATTATTATACGCTAGACGACAAAAAAAAAGTTTAAAAAAACCTCAGCGGAGCGAGGGACGTAATGACTTTAGGGGTAATATATTTCCCATTTCCCTTCGGCTGTGGCCGTCGATCTCGTATCACTATTATAATCCCCTCCCATGCCCAGGAGAATTCCAAAATATTTTTTTTTTTAGCATATAATATCTAAGTATCGATATATTATTAGCTATCCCACTCTGGAGAATTTATTTAATTTATCATTTTTTTTCGTAATACGCGCTATTGTATGGTTTACCTATATAGTACCTATATAGCAATATAGGTTAACATTTTTGCAGTAACCGATATATCAGCTGCGAGCCACCCAGTGATATTTATTATTTATTTACTAATTTTATCAGCGTTACCAAAAAGTATTGATAATGATAAACTCTTGTCGAAAATCACGAACCAAGGTTTTAGAAATGGAAAAAGTTGAATTCCTCGCTATATTTTGTGGCATAATTTTCCTCCATTTTGAATTAAGGAATAGTTACAGAATAGATACGGAGTAGTTACGGAATAGGTTCGGAATAGGTACGGAAGTGGTACGGTTTTGGTACTGGTTAGTTACTGAATACTTACGGAATAGTTATCGAATAGTTCAAACGCAGCATACAAATATTTCTCAACTATCGTAAAAATATTTTGAGGAAAATAATATAGTTGTCAAAATATTTTTAAAAGTAGCGTAAATAATTAGAAAATATTTTATTTATATTCGATGACTAAGAAGTTCATATTTTTAAAAATATTTTATAAAAAATGTTTACAAATCATTTTAATCATATATTTTCAAAAAAAATTGATTGAGCTCCAGCTGCGGGTGGCCAAACCGACGATCACATCACAGACTCATGCGGCTCGTATCTAAACATAGGCGCAAATTGGGGGGGGCTTGGGAGTGCTAAGCCCCCCAAACTTAGCCGTAGTCTCCCCAAAAACCTAAGACATACAATTTGAATATGCTATATTACAATGGTCTGCTTGCCTTTGATATATATTCACTATTCAGCCCCCCCAAGCCAAAAGTTGAAATTGCGACATGTGTCTATAGCTGGCGCAAAACATTTTTACTAATATAATAATTGTTATTATATGAAGACAACATAAAAATTTTAATCTGTCATTATCGTATACGTTATTGTATTGTTTCGCATTTTACACATTTTATTAGATTCGATATCTTATTATATTTACTATTTAGGATAATTAAGAATTTGAGAACCTTTTTTTTCCTGCTTATGGCTCTTAAATATTTTTCATTTTTATTGTGAGCCATGAGGCTCTCGAATCTCTTATCCCAAGCCACCCCTGATATATAATATAATTCACATTATACATTTATATTTTATAAATTTGTGTGAAAAATGACCAGTTTAATCTATGTGGAAATCGTATGAGCTGCAGAATCTGTATTGACTTAAAAGTATCGAATATCAAACAATGTGCAATACGCACAACGTATATGTAATAATTTTTTTTTTTTTATTAATCCTTAAGTCCGGCATCTATGGCCATTAGCTGTTTGTAGGGTTGTATTGTGGTGGTGGTAGGGTTTGGAACGGTGAGTATTTACACGTGGGTGTTTGTGTTTGGCAGAATTTTTAAGCGAGCACCCGTAGATAAGGTTGGTGGTATTTCAAATTTTGATACCAGTATTCGGTATTTGTTTATTACCATTTACCGGTATCCACGGTATTTTCGTTAATTACTGAGATACGGTATTTTCGATAATATTTTCGGTAACTACCGAAAATATCGTGTCTCGGTAATTATTGAAAATACTATACTTCGACAAATTTTTAAGTGTTTCTAAGTTTTCAACCTAGGATAGGGATATTATATTATATCATTACGATTATATAAAAATAATAAATAATAAAAGTAGATATAAGATATATTCGGTAACAACGGTAATTACCGACTCACGGTTTTTCTAAAATACCAAAAATACAGGATATCGGCATTTTTTAAATACCGGTAATTTACGGTATACTGAAAATACCGCCAGCCCTACCGGTATCTTACATGTCCGGGTGGGGGATGGCGGCCTTTCTCTCCGGACGCAGTGAGACTGCCCGAAGGAAAATGCCTCACGTAGTTAGTACGCTCGACCACTCCGTCTCCAATATATGTCATTTATTATGTTTATTACCATAATATTATAAAGTTTAGAGGTTTAGACAATAGTGCTGCAGCTCGAAATGTAATGCACTTCGTGTTCAATATTTGTCGCACATTACAATTTAAATACCTGCAGATGTTAATGGTTTAGAGATTTAATAATGCAAAACAAAACAGAAAAATGTAAAATATGCACATATTTATGCATGAAAAGTAATTTAATAGTAATACTACAAACAAAATATAATAATTTTAAAATATGCAAAATATTACTTTAGTATAGATACATTTTATTTTAGTTTTATACTATTATAATATTATGTAGATTGTAGAAGGTGCAATTCTCGAAAAAAAAATTCTCAAATTAAAATTGCAAATCGTTTTTAATAAACATTTATTAAAAAAATTACGGGCGGACGAATAGAATTCATGCGTTTTTCTCAATGGTTCAAATATATACAATGCGTGGTAAACTAAATCGCATGAATATGTTTTATATACTTACGTATAATATGTGACGAGTTTAAAGACGAAATTTAGTTGTGTTAATATCTTTGGATAATATTTCGACGATTAGGCATTGATCGATCGAAGAATTTGGTACCTTTAATATGCTATCAAAGACTCTAGTAAGGCATAGGGGCTGTTAGAAAAAAAGTGAGAGAGTGTGTGAGCCCACCATTACACTCTGGGGAAGTAAAACTTCTTTCATAAGTAATTGGGCCAGTAAAATTATAAGTGAATTAGGTATAGAGTGAGAAAAATCAATACAATAAAAAAAAATATGTAATTTACGATAGACATTTTTGTTTACTATAATGGTTGCTATGGACATATATAAATAAATAAATAAATATACAAACGTGTCGTTTCATATTTCCTGTCGTTTCAGTTTTCATTACGATTTTTTTTCCGCGAACACCTCAAGAAAGAAGTTTTACTTCAAAATTATTTCAGTGACTAGCTAGTCCAACCCCAGATGTAGTTGGTTCGTGGTTCACACATTTTTTTTTACAATAATAATATACAGAGTGTCAATAAAAAAATAATATTTTCATTCTGCTCATATTATACAAAAAATAATATAGATACCTTAATCTTTTTTAAACCTTTGGAATGGTAAAATAAAATAAATCGAGTAAATAATATTGGTTGGCTTGCTACGGCACTGCACGATCAAAATAGGTCTGGTGCACAAATGTATTGTGTTTCGATACACCGTGTGTCATCTTTTCTAGTAAATAATAATATAAGTACGGTTGCTTGAGAAATTATCCAATCGTTAACTGCAGCAATATCGCTTGTAAGCTAAAAGAGCTGCGAAATCTTTTCTCGATTTCAATAAATAATTTTTAAATTGCTAACTACCTATATGTCCATAATAACTAATAATAATTCGTTATAAAAATCTAACATTTTTTTCGGTAGCTTCGTGCTCCTGTGTACCATATAGCACGCTATACGAACCATTTCTATAGTTAAATTTGATATCTATAAGTTATAACCATATTATATAATAATATGTAAACGAACGTGTCCTAACTTACTGACTGGTCAAAACCTAACTTAAACTATGATAGCTAGATACAGGAAATTTGCATGGTAACTACCATTGATTATATATAGGGCCATAGGGGTGTATTAAGAAAGACATTTCCGAAATTCGCATTTTAAAGAGGTGATCACACAATGATTTAGAAATTCACAATTAAGGAAATAGATAAGGAGTATTTTTCTTAGAAGATGCCCATTGGCGGCACCCTGATTATCTTATCTATAATGATATCTATGATCTATTATCTTTTAAAATTATAATTCTATTTTTTCTGAAAAAGCAATCGAGTGATTTTTATATATTTTAAAATTTAAAATATTATGATTCTTTAAGAAAACAAGATTTTATAAGTACATTTTTTAGGAATCGTGGAGCATTTTATACTGTAAGGGTATTCAATATCTCAAGTGCATTTTTATGGTGGTTTTTTAATGCATTAAATCCACAGCTCTAATTAGTAACTATTATTAGGGCCCGGATTTCAATGCAAGGTGCATCTGTTTTGGGTGATCTTAGACAATGCTTTACAAATACATAATTTGTTTTATGAAAAACACATATAAGCAATTTTCAAATTTCAGCTTTTTTTAAAAATTTTTTTCAAAAGATTTTATAATATTTTACCATATTATTTTATTTTTATAATAATTTAATACGTCAATTTTTAAGGGCATTATTGCGGTAAAATGCATTTTATTTTTAAACGCATATTTTATTTAATGGTTTTTAGAGCAACTCAGGTTCTAATATCTATTATCTATACTGTTGTTAGACGTTACTTCTTGTGATGCGACGGGTCCGTGAAGCAGTGCACGCACGTCATGATAAGCAGTATGAACGCGAAGTTCAGGAAACATGTGACGGCGATGATGACGAGCACTTCGTTGGTCGTGTAGCACATGCTGTCCGGCGCGGCGTGCTGGAGCACATGCGGTGGTGGCGGCTGCGGTGACCGGGATGCGGTGTTGTTGCCGCCGGCCGCAGCGACCAACACGTCGTGCCGACGGTGATGCCGGCCTGCGACGGACGAGGCCGGGCGAACGACGTCGGCCACCGACGCCGCGGCCGCAGACCCGCCTGTGGTCGGCCATCTGTTAGGCGGTGCCAGTTTGTGGTGCTTGCCGTGGTGCCGGACCGAACGGCGTCCGTCTGCACTGCCGCCGTCGTCGTCGTCGTTCATCGCCGTTCAGCGGTCGACGCCGATCATGTCTGCGATCTGTGCTTTATCTGCCTCGAATGCCACTGGATCTCGAGTCTATGGAAAAAAATCAACAAAACTATGATATTCAGGGCCAAAAATTAAGACATTTCCACATCATTCCACACTAAAATATTTTAAAATAATGGACGTTGACCTAGTAGTGCACATGCCACATATAACTTCATTGCATAATTGTTTTTGTTATTCATTAATAATTAGTTATAATAAATACAATCTAAGACAATCTTCTATAAAATTCCTTGATACCTATATGGCTATATGACTGAACATTTTAAAATTAAAAACGAAATAGCTTGGGTTAATTTACTTATAATTATATTATAAGCCGCCCAGAACATGGTGTAGTCGGTATTATTTTTAGTGTTAAGGATTTTAAACGAATACAAGGGGCTAATAAGTTTTTTTCAATAATCAATATTGAATATTAATCAAATAAAAATTTATAAAAGCCAAAAATAAGTACTGCGCACTTTTAAATTTGCTACTGCACATTTAATATTAGCTACTGCACACAATTTTAGGATATGATGATATTATTATATAATATTTATTTAATATTTAGTTTAATTTAATTTTAAATTTATTAATTTACTTATAGCATTAGGTATAGGTAATATAATAAACGTTTATTAGAATGAACTCGTCTTTAAAATTGGAAAGTTAATTTGAAAACGAGAAGACATGAAAACTCAATAGACTTTATCATTAACGTTATTAAATATTTTAATAAATATACAATGAGTCAGTGACATCGCCGTAGAAAGACTGCAAAAAATTCCATTTAACTAATATAAAATGTATAATATATAAGATTAACCGGGAAAACAAAAAAAATTAATCAGCTTACTGAGTAATATTATATAATGAACAGACTGTACAATTTACTATATTATATACATAATATAATATATTCTTTAATATTAAATAAAAATACACAGTCAAAAGAAGACAACATTGTACATGGTAAATATTAAAAAGGTGGGCAAGTGGGTGTCGCTTTACTGTACAGTAGGTTACAAGTGGGTCACTGTATAATGGATGGTATTACATTTGAATTCAATGATATTATATCATTGTATAAGAAAAACGATTCTGAGCGGAGATGGTATGTCCTTCTAGGTATAAGACATATTATATACTTATATATCTATGGTATTAAAAAAATTGACCTATAATGAATTCCAAATTAATCATATCATAATATCCATTAGGTACTTATAACGCGTTATACACCAACAACAAACCCTGATACTATCATAGATATATAGTAGTATACTTTAGAAGTTTCAAGTACCCACGGATAATATTATACAATCACAACAAAATAACTAAAATAGTTATTCTAGGTTTTTTAATATGTAATTTCGTCCCAAATTTGAACTTAAAATTTCTGTAAAAAATAACTGTGTTCATATATTTTTTAGATTTTTTGGTGACAGTATGAACTATTTATGAGAACCTTTGTTTTAAAATTGTAATCCTTAGCTATAAAAACTGAACATTTTATAATTTATTAATTACAATTATTAATAATTTTCGATTAATTTTGATAAACTTTGTCAACATTCGATCTTTAAATGCTTATAAAAAAAAATTGTGCCTATGTATTTTTAATATTTTTCAATTGCTTTTGTAACAATATATCAGGAGCCTTGTATTACATTTTTACACTTTTTGGCCCAACATTTAAAACTTAATTGATATTTATAGAAAAAAAAACTAAAAAAAATTGAAAGCTCTAAATAATATTTTTTAGAGCATATTATTGCGCTTATAACAACCTTTTTTAGAGCTATAATTTATGAGCCCTGCTAATACTAATACTATACTCTATTCAGAATAAGACGACACCGGGTGGCCACGTTAAAAACAGGTTTTGCTGCGTAAATATGATGTGCTCTTAGTCTGAATAGACTATAACACTATAACGAGTTCACGACTCCACGTTCCCATGTTAGAGCAAAACTGATATTAATTTTGCTATAGTTATAAAGTTTAGGTTGAATATACAATATACAATTTTATACTAACCTTTACTATTTTATCTTTAACAATACCATCAAACTTATAATTGCATGAGAACATTACCTGTGATAACGTTTTTTAAATTTTTAAGCGAGGAAAATATTTTATAATTTAGATATAATGCACAAAACTCGTTTAAAAATTGAAATATCGTAAGAAACTAATATTTAGCAAACACATTAAAATGTTCTTACTATCTTAGTATCTTACCTTTAGGCTTTAACTTTGATACCTAATAGATGAATTCACTCTAATATTAAAATACTAACGACACAAAATGGTTTGATGAATGTAAATTTAATACGACGTAATGTTGTACGTTTATAAGATGAAATCTCTACAATGGAACCAGACAACATAAACAGCAATATTATAAAATTGTACACAAATTTCTCAAACTCGCACATTCGCCTACACACCCACCCACACACACACAGTGATGTATTTTTTACTATTTAGGTATATAATATTATCGTCCTACTCAAATACTCAATGCTATTTTACTGTATATGCAGCGGTCGCTGTGTAATAATATGTTATATAAAAAAATATTAAAATATACGGCCGGAAGTCTAAAGCTTAAGTTTCGTGTATATATAATAATGCAATATATATAAATATATAATATATACGCTGGCAGTCAAAGTTTCATCACACCGTCGAAGAAGAAAAACCAATTGGGATATTTTCGTTCGGGATAAAAAAAAAATTAAACAAAATAAAATTTGCTGTCTTCTCTCTGAAATTTATCGCCCTGGGTACGTGACCACTGCCTCGCGGCGGATTATACTTATACGCGAGTGGTAGGTATATACCTAAAACCACGAAACACGTGACTAACCATCAGTAAAGTCACCCCTTCCAAAATAATCGTCGTTGGTGGTTGTGTTATTTGTTTACATTTTTATTACCGTTCGGCGAGTGCAAGGTAAAAATATAATTTTTAATGGGTATGCCCTAACCTAACCTAACCTAACACATATACACTGTGAAGAAATATTGTACACACCATAGATCGATTTAATAGTCATCAAACTATATTTTATTATGAGTAGGACCCAGAACTTGATGATACTTAAAAATCACAAACATGTGGGGTGTATCATGTATACCTAATCATGCATCCCAACAAACTAGGTTAAGATAACAATTAGGTAATAAAATAACAATTAGTATAATTTTAAGGGGCCTGCTCGCGATTTTTCAAATTTTCCGCAATTCTATAAAATTTGAAAATTAAATTTTATATTTTAGTTGCCACCTCAATTATAAGACTTTTCCACTAATCTACTACCCAATACCTATTTAGGGGGGGTTGATAGGGTGTATTATATCGGTCAAAACACAGTTTACAGGAAAAACTCTCACACCTCGTAGATTGGTCCGATTTCCATAATTTTTTTTTTGTTAGATAGAGGAATATTTTTTACAGGGCGCATTGGACTTCGATTTTTGATTACGTCGCTAAAAACAAAAAATAATACAAAAACTAAAAAGTTGTAAAAATTGATTAAATTCAAACTTGTAACATAAGATTTAGAAAAATAATGTTGAAAATCCAAGTCCAATGCGCCCTGTAAGAAGTCTTCCTCTATCTAACAAAAAAAAAAATTACGGAAATCGGACCAATCTACGAGGCGTGAGAGTTTTTCCTGTAAGGCATGTTTTTGAGCAAAAAAACAGGTCGCGTGCAGGCCCCTTAAGCATAGTCAATAAGTAATAGGTGACGATACAATTTGAATGTAGGCCAGTGAAGCAAATGTGCTGAGGCAACTAAAATGTAAATGCCATATATGGTGAAAGAAAGAGTAAGTAAGCCAGGGGTAGTGGTCTGAAAGTACGACGGCATACGTGATATTCTTATTAACTTGTGTGTGTTTAATAATTTTAATAAAGGCTTTTAGATCGTTATATTTTTGTTGTGTTTGGAGTCACTTAAACTAAAAAGTGCGTAGGTATACGACAGATTTTAAGCCAAGCAAATACAAACATATTTAAAAAAAGTAGAACAATTTATAAAATGCACCAAATTAATCAAAAAATAACATGATCTTATCATATATACCTTTACAGATTGTATATTTTCAAATAAAATGTTAAAAAAACCATTGAACTCTGACTAACTCAAGTTGGAGTTCGTACTTTGTTTTTCTAATGTAAGCATTAAAAAAAAATGTTTGGGCCCTAATTGCCCTAATTATAAGTTTTTACATATACTCAAAAATGAGTAATATAATTCTCATGAGTAAGTGTAGGCTATTTTATGTTTATGGCTTTGAAGTTTGAAATATATGTAGGTAAACAATTCATAAAAATATGATGTTCTTAAAACAATTCAATTTGACATTAAAAAATGGCAAATGCGCTTAAACATAATTTATTGTATTATTCAATTTAAAGATATTATTTAATATTATTTAATGATACATTAATATATCCAAATAATTTTTAATAATATAATTAATTTTTCACTTTTAATAATAATATTACCTACCTACATGTGTTATAGGTACGTTACTATTAGATTTAAATAAAAATATGTACCTAGGTAAGTTTGTATATACTTAGGTAAGGTATTTAAAAAATTGTTTCATATTAAATCATATGAAAAATTACGTAAAATGTACATACAATTTACAGAAAATTATTATTTATTTAAAACAGTTTCGTGAAAATATAAAAATTTATCCATAGCTTAAAAATACTTAAAAATACAAAGATATGCAAAGTTAAATTTTTATAACTGCTTCTACGTCACATCAAACCGATTTATAATTTGGTCTACAATTTACGAACGACTAACTACCTATATAGATAAAATATGTAAAAGTCATAAACACCTTACATTTCTACAACTAATGAATAAGATAACTGGAATAAAAAACTAATAGAGGTTAGTATACGTCTAGAGTTTCACGACGTCGAGGTTTAAT